CCCCAAAACCCCAAAACCCCAAAACCCCTATTGAGTAAATTCAAATCAATATTTATAAATTCCAAAATAATTTAATTCAAATTCTATCCTTCGACCTTTAACTAATCGCTCTGAAGTTCAGTAACTACAGTTAAGTGTCTATCTACTTAATATAATTCTTAAACCATATCTTTCCCTTTCGATCAAAATCTCTTTAGTATAGTCCAAAAGCATCATCCTTTTATCCCTCATTTTAAAGTTCATTACCATCACTCACTAGATTTGATTTTTAGATTCTGTTCTAGCTTTTCAATATCTTCTACGTAAAATCTGTTTATTCTTTAATTACCTTTTAACATTAACGAGTCTTCGCTCTTAGATTTTGCAGCTCAATCATTGTTTATTAAGTTTATCTGAATACATCCCGACTTTTGCATCTTATCTCAGTAGGATTGTATTATGTTTTTGAAAACATCATACTTATTTCTTCATTGTTAGTCATTTTTGTGCTTATGCTGTCTTTACTTATGGATTTATCCTACAATGTCTGGAACTACATATTATCTATTTAAATTTATTGGTATGAATGATTTTCATTCCTACTTATATTTTTACCACTTAATGAGTTTTATTAGAGACTGCTTATTGATTATTCTTAATCTTGATTATTAATGATAATTATGGATGGCCCTTTTAAATTCCTAGTTTTTGGCTTTGCTAATTGGTGATGTTCACTCCTATTTCTGTTTTTAAGGTTATTCTTTTGTATATTTACTAATCTCTAAGATTTACTTGAATCATTTAAACCATCTAAATCTAGAGACATTTCTTTTTCATATATAGTCAACTTTGATCTATTAGTCTTGCTTATAATGTCTTGATCAGAATTCAATGTATTCGAATCAAACAAGTGAATCAAACCATTTCTTGAATAATGAGCTAATTCTTTTTATTTCTATGTAAATTTTCTTTTCAATACTGATAAAGGAGTGTTCCTCACTTCAATGCTAAACTTAGACAATAGTCAATTATCTTCTACTTACTTAGCACCCTTCAATGCTAATTTATATAGAGAGTATTTTTACTTTACTCTTAAATCTTATAAATCTGCCTTGGGAATTAATTCTTGAGTTCTATTCATTTAAATAGTGTTTCCATCATCTGAAAAAATCCTCTTCATTCCACTTCCTTAAACAATCTTTTATTTCTAAATCTGATCCATTCTAGTGCTAATATTCAATAAATTTAGTCGCATTTTTTCTTCTTTTAGCTTTAACTTGTTCTGAGAACCCTTAAAAATATCACTTTCAAAGCGATTATAATAATCTTAGTAAGTTTCTTCTGGAATCTGACCAAGATTTCTTAGATCCAGAGCATGTAAGTTTACCTAATTTTCTCAATGGAGTTTTTTATTAAAAAATGGATTTTGGTTTATGCTTCTCTTTTTTATGCTTGGCTTTATAATATTGCATGCTATCGATGAAACCTTTTCTCTATCTTAATCATGCATCGGATTCTTCATTTAGTAGAGTTTTAAGTAATCCTAGTCTTTCAACTGTAAGAGATATTTCCTATCAGATTTAGGGAGTTTAATATTAGCATGCTCTTCCATTGTCATTCTTCTAGCCAATTTATCATTCTAATTAGTGGATCACTTCAATGGAAAACGCTAGATCTACTATTATTATTCTTTTATCAGAGCTGCATCACCATTTTGAATATAGTAGTCTATTTGGCCATATTTATTATCTAAATATAGCAAATGCTGTTAGAGGGATTCATCAAATTTTTATTCAAGATCTAGTTATGTATTAGTACTAATGTCTTTATTCATTTTAATTCTTGTGATTGGAATGTTAAAGATGGAAGTCAAACTTACTAGAAAATTTTAATAAAGCTTTAATTAGTTAAACATTTAAAAATGGCTTAAATATATTCTAGATTAATAATTTTATTAGTTTATTATAATTTGCAAATAACATCATAGCGGGGTTTTGGGGTTTTGGGGAGATCGGAAGAG